CCCTCCCGCGGCTCGGGAGCCGTTCCCTTGGCCCTTGCCCCGCGCGTTTGGTGTCCCGAGTGTTTCGCAGTCGCGGGGAACGCTTGTCCTTCAGTATTGCCAGAAGTAAAAGAAAAACACTGACGCTTTCGCCGTTCTAAGAAGTGCTGCTGTTAATGTCCATTTTCCTGAACTTTGTGCTGAAATGAGTCCATCTTCACGTGTAGTGATTTATTAGGCATCTTGAGTAATCATACGTGGGCTGTCACAGATTTGGCAGCATGTTTTGTGTCTAGACTTAGCATTTGTGATGGTAAACCACACAGCGGTTTCTCTTCACAGAGAATCCGCAGTAGGATTCTCAATGAAAGCTGCTGTGTAAAGACTGTTTTGTGAGTATTTGCAGGTGATGCTGTTTATTGCAGCATAAACAATGTGAACCTGGTTTTTGATCAGTCTTGCTGTACAGTGCAATCGTTTCTCTGTTGGACAAACGTCAATGTGGGAGGCTCAAACTCTCAGCAGAGAGCTGCTAACAGTAAGATTAACAAAATGTGTCCACTATATGTTTTGAGCTGGAATAGTTATTAGTGTTGCTAAGAAGGAAGAACGCTTGATTTCATTGCACCACGTGGTACACGTCTGCAGCTGACTTCTGCTTTCTCTGTTGTAGTTTGTATTGACCTCTGGTGAAGGTCCCCCATCTGCCCTTGTTCTTAGGGACAATAAGCTCTCCTGCTGCATATTTGTATCATAAGAACTGCTGAATTGCTGTACAAATGAAAGTGAAGCGAGAAGAAAGGGAGGGAAGGTAAACTAGATATTTTTGGCGTGGTGGTTTGGTGTTTTGTTTTTGTTTTTTTTTTTTACCTTGGATGTGAGAAATGATGAAGAGGTCCTCTAAAGTTGGCTGGGCATGTTATGTAGATGAAAGTGAAAAGAATATAAGGGGGGTGGAAGCCAGCAAAAGAAAGGAGGAGAGCAGACAAGTGAGGCTTTATGTTTTTGATTAATTAGGGCACGCTGTGTGAACAATGAGACTGCACTATGTTGTGTTCTGGACATGTGCTTAGAGGGGGTAGCAACTGGTGATGACGGCTTCCACTGAACTGTATGTGCTCAAAGACTTCTTCCGAACACTTTGCTGTACTTCTGTTGCTCTGGACTTGAAGATTGCAACTAATTGTTTCTGTGGACGAACTGCGCGTGCAACATGAGTTATCTTAAATTTATATTGTCCTGGTTGCGTATATATGTTGAGGAGAAAGTCGCCTTTTTTTTTATTATTTTTGTTTTTACTCTGGTATGTTGAGGTATGCACTTGCCGGTGGCACAAATAGCTCTAAATGTTACTATGAATGGATACCAAGGACAAACTTTTTTTAAAATGCGTTTCAGAGTGTTGACATGACTTCAGTAGCAAACTCCTGCAGTGCCTCCATGGTGGAACATGAGGAGTAAGAGATGTTTGGATTTTTAGCTTGTTTGTGCCTGAGAATCTTTGGTCCAGGAAAAGGTCATTCTGGTTTTCCCTGCAGATGTTACCCTATGGCCTCTGTACTTCCATCAGCAGGCCTGGTTTTACTCTGTTAGATTATTTAGGAGTTACTTCATGTGCATATAGTGATACGGAATTTTTGTTCTCTTACTGTTAAATGACTTCACCTATGGCCTTTGTTCAGTGAAATCCCACTGCCTTGAATTTCTGATTGTTCTACTGAATAAAAATGTGTAATAATGGTGTCACTTGTAATAGTTTCTGTGCTGGCTTGTGCACCGAGGAAAATGAATTCTGTACCAACACTTACATTCTTGTTTCTGTCCCTTCTTTGCAATACAAAGTAATTTCAGGACTCTTAAACCACCTCACAGTTCTGTAGGCCTGTGTAACCCACTCTTTGTGATTTGCTAATTGCCTTAAAGACTAAATCCAAAGTAATCTTGGACATCATGGTTGGCTAATACTAGTTAATAATAAGTTGCTAAAAAAACAGCTCAGATAATAGTAGAAGATGCTTTAAACCTCTTTTGTACCCTGTTTTGGAGATGGATAGCAGACTTGTCTGTATGTAATAAATGAAATGTCTGAATTCTGTGAAGAAAGCGTGTCATGGACTTGCATTCACGATATTCCCTTTCATTCAGGTATTCCCTTTGCAGAGGGAATCCTGTGATACTGGATGTCCTTTGATCAGAGTTGTCCTACTTCTGGCTTGCTTTGCAACTTATGCCTTTTCAATGATCTCTGTTCCCTTGATATTTCCTGTTTTCAACACAGAATTTTCGGTTGCTATTTCTGTTTGTTTTGAGAGGAGAAAGGCTTAAATGTAAGCAGCAGCTGGAGAAGCAAAAGACAAAATCTCTTTAGGAAGCTAGAACACAATGAAAGTAAAATTTCATACTGAAAAATTAACATGGGAAGTAATAGCTCTATATTTTTAATATAGAATGTCAAATATAGCTCTTGTATGGTGAGCCAACTTCTATAAACAATAACTTTGTTTTACCATAGCTGCTGCCGTATTATTGCTTAATCCTAGTTATTCGCGGCAGCTGCTCTTGAGCAGGAAGCTTGGGGTTTTTTTTCCATGTTTTCTGGTAAGCGTGCTTCTGGTCTGGTTACCTGAAAGGGAATGAGTAGTTTAGACACTCTTGTTTTCTGCCTTGTTAATGACTAGAAAAGGTAATTGTGGCAAGTCATTAGAGAGGAAAAGCTTTTCTGAAGAGAGGTAACCAAAGTGTAAGCTGGATGCTGTGGTGCTAGTTTTTGCATGACTAGTTATGCAAAAGAGGGTGGTGTAGGTACACTTCTACGTCGCTTCCAGAGGTGCTTCTGCAGAGCCGAGCCCAGCCCATCTGTCGCTTCAGTTATTTCAGATACAGCCTCTATGAACCCTTTAGTAAGGGATTGCTTGGGATGAAGCGAACCTAGCAAAAAGCAATGCAGAAGGCGTGGTCTATGGATAAATCTTTCCATCGTAAGAAGTCCCAAATTCTATCGTTATTTGACAGATTAAAATTTGATATGTTGGCTGTGGCTTGGATACTGACTTCCAAAATGAATGAGTTGTCATGTCCCTCTTATCTCTCTCTTAAAAATCACAGCCTTTACCTCAAGCAGAATCAGGATGTGCATAGTAGAAGTTAAACTGTGTGCAATCGTTACGTAGTTTCATTTCATAGGTCTTGTTCGGGTCCTTCCGTTCTGTTTTGTGGTAGTCTGACAGAGTGGGTCTACATCGGGATATTGAGGTTAAGGAGTCTGCGTGCTCTCTTACTCTAGTGATGCTTACATCATGACAATGTAAACAAAGTACACAGATAATAAAATTCTTAGTTACCCAAGTTTTGAATATCTGTCAGCCTGAAGTGAGGGAAATCAACTTGAGCATCTGTTAATTCGAGGGAAAACCCAATACAATACAGGATGCAGAGGAATTGCTGTAGTCTCACTGAACTGATAGCAAGTCAGGGACTGTGGTGCAGCAGTGGTAAACTCATGTGCTGGTTACATGAGCGGACAAATCATATTGCCTAAATTACAAGCAGTTAAACTTTATACTACTTTTGTTCTTACTGTATGGGGGATGTTGTATGGTGTACTGTGGGGTAGAGAAAGATATGTGCAAGGAAGGGGCAGAGACAATGAGTCT